ATTAATTACAAGTAATTATTATTAAGATAAAAATGACTTTTTAGAATTGAAAAACGCTTTCGTTTTTTCAAAAAAAATTTCATAAATGCAGAACAATTTTCTAACGAAATTTGTAAATGAAAAAATAATTAATTCTTACGAATGAAATTCGTAACATGATTGTGTTAACAATTTTTCGATTTGCTGTTACACATAATAATTATAACATAAATGATGTATTTGCTAGTTTTCGAGCTAAAAGAATATAGTTCGATGAGGAAAGAATTTCGTTTCTCGTTACGGACTTATGGCAGTTCCTCTAACGATTTCTTTTAGATAACATAAAAATGTAAAGAGTTTTATTGGTATATAATAATTATTAAATAGTTTATGTGTACATAGTATTGTAATTCGAAAGTAAATTAGAAAAATAAAAATCGGAAATTTTATATGTTATACTAGTTCAATTGTTATTAAAAATAACGAACACTAAATATTTAAAAAATATATTGAATTTTTGTTTTCCATTTATAAATTTTTAGTTTTTTATAGATTAATGACAAATAAAAAAATTTTATTTTAAATTTTTTAAAATAAAAACTTTTTAAAAAATTATCTAAAATATAATAATATAAAATTTTATGTTAATATCAAAAGTTAGTAGGTTAGAAATTTTTAGGACTGTTAAAAGACGTCCATACTAAGTAAAAGTTGAACGAGTTATATATTTCAGTTTAAATAATTTAAATTGAAATTTTAATTTATAAAATTTTTTTATTTATGAATCTAGATTATGTTTAAGCAATAAAAATATAAATTTATTTATATCTAAATATTAAGTTAAAATTATAATTTTTAAATATACTAATGAAGTATATAACCTAAAATAATTTATATGAATAATTATTATAAAAAAGATTTCTTGTAATATTTAAATAATATACTAGTAATAATAAATCTTTTTAATAAAATGTTATATTAAAAAAAATGACTAAAAATATGTATTTTCTTATTAAAATACAAAATACACAAATATTTGGTGTAAAACAAATATTTAGATATATTTTCAGTGATTCCATAAAATATAATATATGGAAACAAAGCAAATTTATAAACAAGCTTTTAAACAAAAATAAATTAAAAAGGTAATATACATCTCAAATTTCAAAAATTTTGTATACTTTTTTATGTTTTAGAATTTTAAATATAATTTTTTAATTAAATAATATTTCTAAATAGGTTTTCAATTCAAGATATAAATCCTACTACTTATGTAGCATCAGAAAATAAAATTTCTGTGCATACACAACGAAGAATGAATGTTCTGAATAAAGTTTTTATGGAACATATTACAGATATGATGTCAACTGGAGAAATAGAACCTGAAATTTTAAATAGAAATATAGAAATTTCACATATAAAAATAACTCCAGATTTTAAACTTATTAATGTTTATTGGATAGACAATAATGCTGAGAAATTGGATACTGAAGAACTATTACAAAAATGTGCTTTTCAATTAAGACATAAGTTATCTCAACTTCGTGTAATAGGCATTGTACCTCCTATTCAATTTGTTAAATGTAAAGGTATTAAAATTATGAAAAAAATAGAAGAAAAATTGAAAATTATAGAGTTTGAGAAAGATTATATATCCAGTCCATATCCAGATGCTATACATCATACTGTTACTGCTTCTGACATTGAGGATGTACATAATAATAAAGAAGACAAATTCAGTATAACTATACCTATAATGAAACATGATATATTTGGATTAGATCATTTTCGAATCATGTCAAAGGTATATTATATACATATACAAAATAATTAAAAATAGTGAATCAAAAATAATAATATATTTAAAAATATCTTTTTTCTAGATTAAAAATTCATTAAATAAATCATTGAAAAAAGAAACAGTAAATATAAATTCATATTCAAATACACTTTCTAAGTTTGATGTAAAAAATATTTCGAATTTTTTTATTGATAATAAATATCAAAAACAATTTGCTAAATTTTTAAATGAAAGACAAAAAGAGCAAAGAAAAAAAAATAAAAAAAAATATTTTAAATTAAATGATTTTACTTATAATTTTGAAGAACAAAATGTTAATAATAATTATGATGATTTTGCTGAAAATGATTATGATGTTTTTGATGAGAATGATAATTCCATTCATGATGAATTTAAAAAAAAACGGTAATAAATAAATAATAGTATACGAAACATTTAGGATAGGACAAATTTTTTAATATAAACATAAAAAATTAATATCAACAATATTTATTTCTACATTTAATTTTGTTATATAATATATTTGTACATAATATACAATTTGACCTTCTCTGTTAAATTTATAATATAATTTATTTATATATANATCATAATATATATATACAAATATATATCATAATATATATATGTACAAATATTCTTGAAAATTGTTGATCCCATTGATTGAATTTGATTTTAATATTACACATTATTTAATATTACATTGTACTTTTAATCAAGCACAAATATTTAAATATTTCTATAATTAGTACTATTATTCTTTTGAATTTTTATTAAAATATATTTATATTTTATTAAAATATACAATCTTATGAAGAAATTAAAATTTATAAAAAAAATTAAATATTTTAATATTCAACTATTGTTTAGAAATATAAATGATGAATCAATGAGTTTAAACTAAGAATTGAGCTCCATTATTCTTGAAACAATTCAAGAAATTATAAATTACAGCATTAACAAAGTATAACATAAATTAGAAAATAATTAAATAACATTAATCAACATGTAATTATTGTTTGGTACGTTGCAATACATATATATCTAATCTAAATCACACAATTCATGCAGTCATTTGACTGCAATTAAAGTCAAAACAGTACGATTCAATCATCAAATTTTATACTTTTTAAATTTTAAATAAATTTTAACGAGATCGTGCTTATGGCGTGTTCAATTCTTGTCCTTTCGCGGTTTTAGAATCAACTTCCTCGTTTGTTAAAATTAATGAAATTTGTTGTTCATTTATAGACTTTGATCGAATATCTGATGCTGTTAAATGGGATATGGAATCACTTAGATTACATGCTTCTAATACATATTTATTGAAAATTTCACTTTTATCAGCATAAACATGATGTCCTGCTCCTGTTATAGCCTATAATCATAAAAATATATAAATATATAATTATTAAAATTATTTTAAAAAGAAATTTATAATTTTTATTTATACTATTTCTTTATTTTTATGTTTTATATTTACCTGAACATTAATATAAGATGATGCTCTAGCTTGCTTAAGTGTTTCCCAAGATGAATTATCAACCCAAGATCGACTACCATATAATAAAGTTATTGGAATTTCTGGATTTAATTTATCCATTCTTTTAACAATAGGATTTTTGGCCCAGCCAAAATGTTGCATCATTGCATGAAATGCACTCTCACCACTTTTTATTAAATATGTAAAAAATTAATTTTTGCATTTTATATTTAAAAATTCAAATGAAATACTTTTTAATTGAATTTAAAATTTTAAAATTCAACAATTTTTATTTTAAAAATTTTAAAAACTTACGACGGTGTTTGAGCATTACACTGATGTAAATATTGTGAAATCACAGCAGTATCATCTTTTAATATAGGTGCAAATTTTTTTACTATATCTGGCCTTGTTTTTTCAATTAACCATTGTCCTAAAAAAAAATAATATTATATATGTTATAAAACAGTATTTAAATTTTATATATATTTTACAAATTAATATTATATAAGACCTTTTTATTTTTAGCACATGAAAATATGCTAAAATAAGAACTAACCAAATGGACCAGCTACTCTGACTGGCCAAAGTGGGTTTAATGGTTCGATTACATATGCTATAACTTTTACCCACATAGGAACTCTGGAAATTCGATCTACAGGTCTTTCCGGAAAACCCCACGGATCGGCAAGAATCAGGTGTTTAATTCTTTCGGGATATTGCATGCTATATGATGCTGCAAGAAAACCACCCATTGAATGACCTAACAGTACAAATTTTTCTAACTGCATTTCTCTTCTCCATTCCTCAATAGAGCGAACTAATTGACTTTCAGCTTCTTGAGCTTCGTTACTAAAAACAGGACGACTACTTCTACCGAAACCTGAATAAAAAATTAATATATATTTCAGAGAAGCAAAATAAACAACAAATAAATATGATGATAACCAAAATATATTATAGTTTAAAATAATGATATAAAAATATTATACACAATAATAATAACAAATATTTGAAAAATATGAAAAAATCATTTCGTATTATTTTATTATATATATTATATATATTATATATTATAAATTATATGCAATTCCAAAATTCAATTTTATCTATGAATCATATATAATAACTATACTTAAAAACAAAATATATATCTTTAATATATATGGCTTTTTATTTTAAATATTATTGAATAAACTTAAAAAAATATAAATTTATATTTTACATATTATAAAACTATAAATGAAATTATAATTATTTTATTTTTACCTAATATGTCAATAGCATATACTGGCCTTTGAGAAGCCAATGCATCAAGATTTAAACACCACAATGCCACGCCTGCTCCTAAACCATGTAATAAGACAATTGGTGTTTTTGTTGATTCTTCATTCAAAGAAATGGTCCATATCTTATCTGATGTTCCTACAACTGGTCCTATATCCACATACCATCCTCTATATGCTGTTCTCAAACCTATATCAAATACAATAGTTCTTAAACCATATAGTTAATAATTTCAAATCAAATAAAATATCATTAAAATTATAATTTATTACAAAAGATTATTTTATCTCAAATGTCTTTAAATATATCTCTAAATGTCTCTAATTTATTTTTCAAAAAATTTGTTTAACAAAAAAAACTTACAAGAAAGAATTTTTTTCTCCGCAGCACGTAACATAGTTGAAGATGAGCCAGACCAGCTAAACCATTCCCAAAACCAGCTAACAAATAAAAAAATTCAAAAAGATTGTATAAATAAACGAAATATATTCAATTTTTCATAAATTGTATATTTATAAATATTTATAAAATCACATTTATGTAACAGTATTTTTACATAATTAATAATTAGGATTAATAAAAACTAATGATATGTGTAATAATAATTTTTTAATAAATTTATGTGATATTTATGTGTAGATCATTGATTATCTATATCATTATATTTTTCGATACTGTTATAATGTAGTTTTACAAATGTCATGTTATGATTTAAAACACTGAACTTGAAAAATTATTAGACATTATATATATAATAATCTGACAAGTGATAAGTATGATAAGCATAATATAATACATATGTAAAATCAATTTTGAAGACTTTAATGCGTAGATTAAAAAAGAAATTACCTACGTATTTGTGTAAAATAAACTCGAAATGGAATTAACTCTACATATTTCTTTGGTTATGATTCTTCGTGCTAAAAATATTTGGCACGTGACCTTGAAAAGCAATCCAACATGACATAGTTAACTCTTTGACTTCCATAATCATTTTTCTTTTATATATATATGTAGCGTTTCAAAATACTTCTACATGTACGGTATCTATAATATAAATCTATTAATTATAATGACAATTTCTGTGGCAATATAAGAACGTTGTAAATTAAAAGTTTTTAATTTAAATTTCGAATGTGAAAATTGATACAATTAAAATGATGTATTTATAGAAAATTGATGTATAGAAAATTATGATAAACTATAAAGTCGCTAAAAAATGAAAGCCATAAATTAAAAAAAAAATTACGAATGACAGTTACAAAAAAATTATATTTAAAATCCTTCAATACATACCTTTTCGATTTGACAATTTCATAATCTGCCATTAGCTTTTACGATGCTTTGGTTGTTCGTGTACGATGATTTCTTTGTTGACAATATGGAAAATGAGTACGACGACGTAACCAATTCTATTATCTAGTCGGTGAGAATTCCAGTATACATTGTCTGTTGAAAAATGGAAGAGTGGGAGAATCAGCTGATGTACATATGTTTTGGAAGATTTGTGGAATTTTTCTTTTGTGAAATACAAAATACGTACTTCATTGTTTATTGTTATATGTATTTTTTTTTAAATATATATTGATTGCAATGTATTAACACATTATTTTTTTGAAATAAGATTATTACGATAATAAAGTATTACATGTAATAAAAGTAACATAACCTAAAATCATCGTGATAACCAATATTCATAAAGTATACATTGTAAATTTTTTTAAAGAAGTGCAGTAACTGTTTCTGTTTTAACTAACTTCGTATTTTTTAATATAATTGAAATTATTAACTTGTAAATCTTATAAATTAATAAAATTCGTGATAATGTAATGAGCAATATTATATTTTTAAAAAAATCTATAATACAATATATTATATTTTTATTCTGATGCATGAATTAATTTGAAATTTATAAGAATAAAGTTATAAATAAGTTCTTTATAATATACATATATATATCGGAGATATCGATGTTATGTGAAAAATAATAATTAAAGATAAAAAAGAATCTGCCGCTTATAGTTATCGATCAAGATATTAAATTAGAAATTTTTGTATAGTGATAAGAGTACATCGATTGTACAAATTTATTAAAAATAATTGTAAAATTAATAATTAATATAGAATTTTATTTTTTGTTTTTGTTTTTAATTAATAATTTAAAATATTTTGAATTTTTAAGTAAGTAAATTATTCTTATGATTAATGTATTTATAATACAATGAAATAAATGAATCTCTACCTTTGTAACATGCAACAAAGTGTAAGTATAATACAATGAAGAAGACATTTTATAATGATCAGAGACTCTATATACAAGCTCTGGGTGCTTTTGGCTCTCCCGACAATATGAGCTATTCATCCCAATCAGCACATCCTCATTGCACTCATGCATGATTCTCATTATTTGGTCCAATTGTTTCGGGAATTTAAAGTTGTATGATAGTTGATGGATTGTCCTTACAGTTTTATATTTGTATTATATATATATTATATATATTTATATCACTATATATATTTATTTATATATATATATTTATAAATGTAATAAAAAAATTTACCAAAATAATAATATTAAATAATAAAAACAATAATATTTTATTGAGACTATTATACAATGAGAAAAATTCATTAGCTGCAATTTTAATTTCACTATTATAAATATTTTTTTCAATTTATATTTATATTAGCCATCAAGCATATAAAATATAATTATTTTAGAAAAACACTAAAATTCTTTAATTACATGTAAAAATTTGAAAAAGTTTGGTTATTAAAATTCTTCTTTAATTTCTTAATAAAAATGATATTTATTTTTATTTTGTTAAAAATAAAAAATCTGTCAAAGAAGATATAAAGAAAATAACATATATTCACATTTCGAACAGCGTATTCAAAGATAAAATGTAAGGTAAAAAGTATGCCTATATTTATGTATATTCAATGTAATGCATAGCATGCGTGGCGCAAGAATACAAGATAATTCGGGCGTCGTCTGCTGGCACTACTTTTCTATTTGCCAGTCAAAGAACAAGATTACACATAAAATTGTATTCTATTGAATTTTTTAACGCCGAACAAATTATTTCAATTTTATAAGAAATACAACTTTATATTTTTTAATATTTTCTTCTATATTTACTAAATACAAATTTTTAAAATAATTTTATAACAATTTTTAATTTTCGAACTTTTAATATTAATTTTGATAATATTATTAATAATTTATTTATATTTATAAAGTAAATTAATATTTTTTTGTTACTTTCATGTAATAATCAAATGTATTTCCGTTTAATCGGTAATTCAGGAATACAAAGCTTGTTTCGTGAATAAATAAATAAATATATATATATATATATTCATTTTCCATTCCATTCTTTTTCAACGATATAATTAATTATCGAAAAAAACCATTTTTTTTTTATGAATTCACGTTAATGTATAAACATAATTTTAAATTTTATTAATAATTTTAAATTTTATATCTTTTTTGTCACACGAAATTAATTTATATCAATTCTTTTTGACATCTCCCTAATTCTTATGAGAAATATTCATTTAAACTATTATTATGTTAAAATAATTTATATAATTCTATTTTTAATAATAAATATCAATCACCATAGTTATATATATCAATCTCCATAAAATTTGAAATTTGAAATGAATTATATTCAATTTTATTAATTTTAGTTATCTTTAGTTATTTTATATGTATATATTTTATATTAATATTAAATATTAATATTACATGCAAAAAAAATTATATAAAAAATGCATAATTTTACTATGAATATTATTGAAAAAGATATCATACAAAAAATATAATATAATAATCGCTATTAAGCGAATAATCAAACATAATATATAACATTTGCTAATGCTTTCAATATTATAATTAATGAGAAAAAATAAATTTGATTTTTTTCTTTCTGCTTTAATCCTATATTATTATAATCTATGATTTCAATATTTTTGATAATATGTAATTCATGACATACAATTGATTGTTAATATAATTATATCAAATTCTGTTGAACAATATTTAGTTTAGATATAATATATAAAAAAAATTCATAAGATAAGATGAAATTTATTTATTTAATATGATGATTTACTGTCATCCAAAAGTTATTTTCTAAAAAATGCCATATTCACTTTGTAAAATGTATATATAAAAGGATGCATGATGAACATTAAATGGAATCGAAAATCGTAGTCGAAGATGCGTGGGTTAATGCAAATTTGTCAGAGAGGGGAACTACTTTTTAATCGCGAACACCAATATTCCACAACTCACGGCACCTGTCGTACTATACGCAATGTAGTTTAACGTACCTAGTAGCGGACGATGGGATACCGAGCAGTATTCCAATTGGTCGCTCAAAAGGGGCGCGCGGTTGCTAAGCAACGGCAACACCGCGCGCGTCACCGGCCGGCGTAGCCGGCACCAAACGTTCCTGCCACTGTGGCGGAAAATTGCGCAGAACAACGTCGACTCTCATCGGGTGTAAACGTGCTGCGGTCTTTAAATACGCGATATAGATTCACCGAAGCTTTATTTCTTTTTTTACTCTTGTCTCTTTTCTCATTGTCGAATACAAAATCGAAAGAATCCTTTGTGGTATTCTATTTAAGAATTGCGCGCTTCTTGCAAAAAACGAATAAATATTTTATTGGAGCAATAGAGTTACATTTTATTAAAGTAAAGGAAATAAAAAAGAAAAATGGCAGAGGACAAAAACGAAACCAGCCCAAGTGCCGAGGGTGAAAAGCCACCACAGGAAGCGGCACCGTCGAAGCAAGAAAAAGAAGAGCCAAAAGAAAATAAAGAAGAAGAAAAGAAAGTCGAAGAGAATGGCGACGGTGATAAACCCAAGGAGAATGGCGAAGAGAAACCCACGCCAGAACCGAAGGATATGCGGGCTATAGTACTGAACGGTTTCGGCGGACTGAAAAGTGTCAAGGCTTTGAGGAAGCCTGAGCCCACCCTCTCCGAAGGAGAAGTTCTTATTCGAGTCAAAGCATGGTAAGTAACTTTACAATTTATATATATTTTTGTATAATCTATACATTTATTTACAATTCGAATACTTTAATAATTCGACTTGGATATAGGAGAAAGTAGGAAATAAATGTAAATTAAATATAAAGAATTCATTGATTAAATAATATGAATGAATATTATAAATATTATTTTGCGAATGTTATTAAAGTTATACATTAAATCCTACTAAAATTTGAACGGATCAGATGAAAAGTAGAAGTTAATTAAGATTGATGTGACGTTAGCGAAATCAAGCGACATTTTGATAGCGTCTCTTATTCTGTTTGAATATAAAGCAGTTAAATGTCAGTAACATTAAAAATATGGATAAAATAAAATAAAATATGTTTCTTAAATATGTATAAATTTCGATTTTATATCAATGATTGATCACTTCAAATAGTTTTGAATTCTATTCGAAACGATGTTTCGATAGTTCGTTATTGGAATGAAGGTGAATCACTGAGAAGAAAACAAAATAGAAAATATGGTGTCCAGATTCCGATCCAAGCGAAGAGACCGTTACAATACCACTGCATCTTTGAAATTAAGGCGTGGTATTTCCGAGATAATTAAAATTTGATTATTAAAATTTGATAATTAAAATTTTATTATTACGATATAGAGCATTTTTTATAAACGTAAAAGAATTTTAATAAAAACATTTAATTTCGGTATATCAAAATATTTCTTAAAATTCTTTACATATTCTTTTGTATAAGATATAATTTTATATATATAATACTATTAATTTCTGACAAAATTTATACTTTATTTTACTAATAGGTTTTTATATTATTATTTTTGTAAATAAATAATAACAAGTTTCTAATTAATTTAAAAAAAAATTAGAATAATATAAAAAATTATTTTTTAAAAATATAATTTATGATGAAATTTTTTTTTTCAATTTTTTTGTTTATATAAAATTAATTTTTTAAAAGTTCATTTTTTATTAATTCTTTTAAAGACGCAATAAAATTTAAAGAAAATTATTATTAATTTTTGTAAGAATATACTTTAATTGAATATTTCGATATTTTTATAGGATTGCAATATGAAAAATTATTTGCCATTACTGCTTGACAAAAAAGTATTATCCAGCATTCCTCAGAATGTTATGCAGTCTGCACATTAAATAGCTAGCTACATTTATAGAATACATGCCTATGTGTTTAATATTAGTGTATACTTTTGTAGATATGCAAAACGAAGTTTGATAAGCCGTTTAATTGTATTCAACTTTATTGAATATGTAATTTTGTCTCGTCGAAATTTATTTATATAATATATAAGGATATATATATATATCATATATATTATTATATTGGAAGTTATTGAACTTTAGTACACTATGTTTAATAAATACGATCCATTAATGTAGATATGAAAAAAAGATTATTAGATGGAAAAGTATATACATTTAATGCAATGCATAT